CCTCATCTTCATTGACTTTAAGCACTACGATGGGCACTTAACTCAAGTTATAATCAACTCTTTACCTACAATCACACATTAACATCATTAATTATTTGATTAGTCGCATTTTTCCCCAATTTCACAACAAAAAGCAAGTATAAAAAGGTATAAAAGGCATACAAAATATGCAGTATTCTGTGCAAATCAATGGTATACACCCTTCCTACAGTAGTTGGTGATTTAGCTATATGGGAAATGATTGAGATTGTGTGGTTGTTGGGTGTGAATGAGGTAGAATCATTGTGTAGATTCTTAAGAAGCAATCAATATACATGAGAATATGGAATGATACTACTAAGTTGTTTATTGATTGCTTTAATTTCTTGCATGTTTATTCTTGTCATTGATTTACTGTTTTTCGTACACTTGAGATTATTACAACTGTCATAGTTTTACTCTCAAAATTTGTATATTCTATTTTTCAAAAGAGACTTACCTTATTTATGTTGTTTCAAAACCTTGTTAGGATTTGAGAAGGATTTTCTATGAATTTTTGTTCACCCCCTACAACACACTTACAAATTTTGGGATGTTAATGTGAATGAGCAGGTTGATTACAAGTCATTGGAGGATCAAGATCTGGACCCTATCCTAGAGAAATAGAGTTGTTTTATTTTTGGTTTAGAGTTTGAGAGATTTCTATGAAACACTGTTTCAGCTAGTTTAATTATTCTGTTGCTAGATACTATTTAGTTTTGAATTGTAAATTGGAGAAGTTACAATATTTTATTTACTTTAGTGTTTATTCTTTGTCAGATGGATAAATTGTTTATTATTTAATAGTTGTTGTAGTTGCTCTCATAATTAGATGATTTTTAGATAGTAATGCCTTATAGTGTAGATTTTGAGGTGTTCCAGTATGAATTGCACCTCACATTCATGCCTCCCAATCTCATGGCAATTATTTTCCAAGGGGTGTGATTACCACCCAGCTGAATGTTGTGCTTTACCGAAGTTTCTTTTTAGAGTTTCAATCTATATTAATGTAGGTCATGTCTACTTTGAATTAAGTGGCACACTTCGATTCCTCTCATAGTCTCGTAGACATCTAATTCTCATCCTTCTAGTTGAGTTATCAAGTAATGGATCTTTTGGATCTCGTTGTCATCTCGAGTTCCAATCCTCTTGGGTCTCTTTCTCATTGGTAAGCTGCTTGACCATCTTCGAGGCACCATGTTTCATAATTTACCTCCAATTTTTTAGATTAACACCAAGCATATTTCGGATCACATACTCAGTATTTCGGATCACATATATAAAAAGATCAAGTGTCACGTGTGATGCAAACTAAGGCAAAAGATAAGCTTTAAGATGTGAAATAAACCAAAAAATGTAAAAATTCCATCACCTAGTGTTGATTGTTGTGTTCGTTCAAGTAATTGACCTTCTTGGGCTTTTTTTATGGTATAAAATAATTGACCATCTTGGGTCTCTTTGTCATATTGTCGAGATAATTCAACTATGTTAAATATATTTTGTATCATGTTGACCCATGCGTTAGCTCAAGTAATTAACCCTCTTGGGTCTTTTTACAATCAAACAATTGCCCCTCTTAGGTCTCTTTTTTATATTGTCAAGATAATTCAACTTTGTTAAAAATATTATGTATCATGTTTTAGGCCCACACACCCAATTATGCTCAGTCACATATTAACTAATATCATAGGTAAACTAACGTTGAAAGTACTTCGGTATCTAAGATGAACCAAAAATCCCTAGATGTGTATGTCTCTGTGTTGGTCACATGGGGCCCAAATAAAGGGCAAGCGACTTTGTTCATTCCATAGAAGCAAAATGCCACATGCAGTAATCCAAGCTTCTAGAAGATTTATAATTTGTATTGCTTTATGAGATGACGTCCACCGCGTAAGGCAAAAATAACGAAAAACCATGATGAATGTTCAAATATGCTCGTTCACATAAACCCATGAATAGCTCTTCTATGCTAGGCTCGCGATTTCAATTGTTGCACATATAGATCTATTGACAATGCTCATTATAGGATCAGAGCAAGATGGATTGAGTACTTATTGATTAACCCTAATTAGTATGTGAATTAATATAATTAAATAATTACATTATGTAAGATAAATCAGTTAAAAATTGTAAAATAAGGTTTGTGTGAAAGCTAGGGTTTTATGTGTGTTATGTTTAAAATTTCAGGGTTTTGTGCGGAATTGTCAGAAAGTATAAAGAACAATCTGTCAAAGCTTGGAACAACAAGGGAGGCAAGTGTAAAATAAACCAAGAAATGGCTAGCACAACAATAGGATCAACATCAATTTTCCAGCAAAACACCACCGTCCGGACGATGGTGGTGGTGTCCGGACGGTGGCTATAGGCGGTTTGTGCTCATCTCCCACCTTCTGCTTGCCTGATGCCTATAAATATGGGGGTTATCTCTTCATTTGAAACGGGCTGGGAAAAAAAGGTGAGTCTGGGAGAGAAAAAGAGGAGCTCAAGAGGAAGAAAAGAGAGAAAAAAGAAAGAGTCATACAAATATTCAAGATTCAGTCTGTCCTACCCTCCAGCCAAAACTCTGTATTTCAACATTTCTATTATGTCTTTCTACTTGGAGAATCGAATTGTCACCACCTTTGTGTCTTAACTGATATTAAGGGTGGTTGTATTTCAATTATTCCTTGCGAAAAAAGTGTTAATATTTGTATTCTATTTACTGTTGTAATGATAATTACCTGCACTTCTTGCTTGTCTATGGTAATGGAGTATGAGTAGTTACTTATACCCTTCAGTAAGGGGTAAACATATGTATAATATTGGTTAAACTATGGAAATGCTGATGTTTTATTATGCTCTATCTATACATGTCTATTTATTATATGCTCACGGTTATGAAACACCGAGCGATATTTAATATTTGATATTATCTACTATTATGAACTTTATGCATGATACAATGATGTACATAATTGGATATTACTATGTAGCTCGGAATTATGTCATCAGTGAATCATCAACCTGCCGGTTGAATATCTACGGTGTTCCTACGGTATGGCTTGACCTCCAGGTGCACTGAGGTTGTTCAACTGTTGCATGGTACAATCGTTAGATTAATAATCTAAGTAATCCTCCTGAATATCTTGTCCTTCTGGATTATTGAGGTTGTTTAACTGATATAAGATATAAAAGTTGTTAGATGAAAAACCTAAATGATTCTCTTGAATGACTCGTCCTTCTAGATTATTAGGGTTGTTTAACTGATACATACTATAGTAAAGTCAATTGAGTAATTCAAGTGATCCTCATGAATGGTTTGACCTTCTGATTTACTTAGATTAGTTAATTGTCAATAATACCTCTAGCTAACCTAAAAAGTTGTTGTATTATGGTTTAATAATACCATTAGCTAACCTAAGAAATTATTGTGTTATGATTTAATAATATCACCAGCTAACCTAAGAAGTTGATGTGACATAGTTTATATACATCAGACCTACCGGTTGACTTTCCAGTGATTTGGAAGTTAATTGTTGTAAGGTAGCATTTCTAGTACTTAACCAATATAAAGCATATGAGATCCTTAAACTGAAGGGTACATTTCATATTATTGTCTTTTAACAATCTATTACACATTTTATTTACTTAGACTAGTTATCAATTTAAGCTCACATCACACGCTATCTCACCTGACACTACTTTAACAATAACTTCACTGTTCTTATTTTAAATTCTAATTATTAAAACTCTTCGGGGGATCAATCTTGGACTTATACTGATAAAACTACAATTTGACCACTTATACTTGGGTGTGTAATATAAATCAGATTATGAAATAAGCTCGAATCACTTATATATTTGTAATTCAAGGAAACTTTGATCATCGTTTTCCACATACGTAAGGGGAAAAATATGCACCTATCAAAATAAAGTGATTTGTTTGGAATGAGTACTCGAGATCGTCTTTGACCTACAAAGCAAACAAACTACCATAGATCAGTGGGTATCGGTCGGAGGCACTGCAATACTTAAGTCAACAATACCACGATAGAGTGTATTCAATTTTCTAGAGAAAGTGTGCGTAAATTAAACTTAAGCTTTATTGGTATTTTATAGGGAGCTTGTCCTCGATTATTCAGGACTACTGCCCTTGTTGGAATATGGTGGCACACCTAAATTTTAATCAGTCATTCCTTAATTCGTGTTCGATCCTTATAGGATTTCCTGTCTCATTAATCGATTTAGGTCATATGTTAATTATGTGTTTTTATGATTTAGGTAATTTCCTCATTGATCGCCTAGCATCGTCTTTGTTTTTCAAGATAGCCTAACTACCAGTTCGGTTGGACCAATTTAGCTCGGCCGTAATAGCCTTACTTGTCGAATCTTATCCTCTGCTCGATTAGACCAACTTTGGCTCAATCCGAATAGTCTAGTTACTTGTTCGGTTGTAATAAAATCATTTCAAATAACTCTTTTTAGTATGTGCAACTTGCTATGTGTTCAAGTCTAATTGTCAGATGATGATCAGAATTTATCGACTCCTTCGATGGATAAAATTGTTATTTTAAGAATAGTGGATGTTATGATAGAAAAATAAAAGTTCAGTGACATTTAGAAGTAGTATATATTAATTGTCCATCATAAATAATTGTTTTTATCACCTAAAAATTTGCAATATCAAAAAAATTTCATATAATGTGAGTAGCATATAGTAGATATATATAGATGGAGTGGAACTTCATTGTCCAACTTATGGTTCCTTGAATTCTTAGAACGAGATCAGGGATTCGCAAAGCTGGTCCGTCTAATTTTAATTTTTAGTTTTCGAAACCTTCGGTAGATGCAGACGGCGAACAAAAGGGAACGAAATTTCAGACAACTGGTTGGGCGTTGCTAGATCAGGAGAAAAGACTCAGACGTTCATTGGGTTTTCGCCTTCAGGACTACAACTCTATGTACAGTCGGTAGTACGGTAATCTTTCTGCCTGTCAACAACTATGAGGGTTGCCCTTCCATCATCTTCTCCGTCATCCACCGTTGGCGGTGGAGATGGGAAAGGAGGAGTTTACAGAGACAAAGACGCCGAATCGCTCTTCCGGACGAAGCCTATTTCCGAAATCCGTAATGTGGAAGCCGCAACCAGAAAACAGATCCAGGACAAGAGCGAAGAGCTCCGACTGCTCGTCGGAAATCGGTACCGAGATCTCATCGACTCCGCGGATTCGATCGTTCTCATGAAGTCCTCTTGCGAGTCAATATCCGCCAACATCTACGCCATCCACAATTGTATTCTACATTCCCTCTCCACCACCTCCACCGATACTGACTCCCCTAGATCCACCGTCGTCGTTCCCAATCCTGCTAGGGCTCGGATTTACGGCATTGCCTGTCGAGTCAAGTACCTCGTGGACTCCCCTGAGAACATCTGGGGCTGCCTCGACGAGTCCATGTTCCTCGAGGCTGCTGCCAGATACATCCGTGCCAAGCAGGTCCATTATAGCCTCATTAACAACGCTGACAACAAGAAGAATAATGTACTCTCCAATTTCCCTCTTCTTCAGCATCAATGGCAGATCGTTGAGAGCTTTAAAACTCAGATCTCTCAGAGAAGTCGTGAGAGATTGTTGGATCATGCTCTCGGCCTCAGCATCACTGCTTATGCTGATGCTCTTGCTGCTGTTGCCATTATCGATGAGCTAGATCCGAAGCAGGTTTTATCTTTATTCCTCGATTCGAGAAAATCCTGCATTTCTCTGAAGCTAGTTAACTGCTCCACTGCTATTACTAATAGTGCTGAAGTGATTTCGGTGTTTTGTCAAGTATTAAGGATAATTCAAGTTAGCGTAGGGCAAGGAGGGGAATTGCTCTTGCAAGTGTTGAGTGATATGCCTTTGTTCTATAAAACCATATTGAGTTCACCTCCCGCTTCTCAATTGTTTGGTGGAATACCCAACCCAGATGAAGAAGTCAGGTTGTGGAAGTTGTTTAGGGACAAATTAGAGTCGGTGATGGTAATGCTAGACCGAGAATTCATTGCCAAAACCTGTTCTGATTGGTTGAGGAACTGTGGTAAAGAGATTGTTAATAAGATCAATGGGAGGTACTTGATTGATGCCATTGTAAGTGGTCGGGATCTTGCTGAGGCTGAGAAGTTAATTCGGGAGACCATAGAAAGTAAGCAAGTGTTGGAAGGGAGTTTGGAGTGGCTTAAGTGTGTCTTTGGTTCTGAGATTGAGTTGCCATGGAATAGAATCCGTGAGCTTGTTCTGGGAGATGATTCGGATCTTTGGGATGAGACATTCGAAGATGCTTTTGTTCAGAGGATGAAAACAATTATCGATGCAGGGTTTGATGAGTTGTGTAAAGCTGTTAATGTGACAGACTCTGTTCATACCATTGCTGAAACTCCTGGTGACAGGATTGATTTTCGAGCATACTTGAATAGATCTTCTACTGGTGGTGGGGTTTGGTTCATGGAGCCTAGTGGTAAAAAGTTTGGTCCAACCATTGGTTCTAAAGCGCAGACTGAGGAGAATGATTTCCGCAGCTGTCTCAATGCCTACTTTGGAGCTGAAGTCAGCCGGATTAGAGATGCAGTTGACAGCCGCTGTGAGAGTTTGCTTGAGGACTTACTGAGCTTCCTAGAGTCTCCCAAGGCCTCTTTGAGGTTAAAGGATCTAGTGCCGTATTTACAAACCAAGTGTTATGGAAGTATGTCAACCATAATGATGGAGCTCAAGAATGAGCTAGACCACTTGTATACTGCGCTGGAAAAGGGCAATAGGGAAGGTGAGTCTGTGCCAACCTCTGCTATAATTGTTGAGAGATCTCTATTCATTGGGCGGCTCTTGTTTGCATTTCAAAAATACTCTAGACACATCCCTGTTGTTCTTGGTTCGCCAAGGTCATGGTTGAACAAAGCTATGGCAGCTATATCTGGTAAGTCCTCGATTGTGTTAAGGTATTCCATTGCAGTTATTGATAGTCCCATGTCTGATAACCCTGGAAAGAAATTTCTTGATACCTCTAAAAGACAAACTTCTTTGGCAACTGCTGCTTTGTTTGGGATAAATGACAGTTCCAGCCCACAACTTGAAGAACTTAGTAAAACAATCCAAGATCTTTGCATTAGAGCTCACAATTTGTGGATATCATGGGTTTCTAATGAGCTTTCCATCAACCTTTCTCGCAATCTCAGACAAGATGATTGTTTATCAGCAGCAACTCCGTTGAGAGTAAGTGGCATTCTTGGGATGTTTTTGCTATTTGTGTAATGATTTTTACCTGTAATACTTATCTTCAAGGATGTTATGCCTTCTTTCTCCTTTAGGAGTTCACAATTTCCTTAGATGGTGATGTTTCATTCAATGTATGTAGTTAAAGTTTTCCTGACTTTAGTATGCTTGTGATAGACATCAAAAAGGGATTAGATAGTGTTGAATTAACGAATTTGAACTTATTATTTACTTTAGTATTATTATATTAATTAGGGAAGATTTGGTTTAATTAAGATTAATTTTACTATTTATTAGGTTATTTAATTAGACATACTTGTTTGATTATGAGTGTTAATTAGAGTTTGACTAGAAAATTATTATAAAGTTTTAGTATGAGAGTAATTTAATAGTTTGATTATGAAACTCTTTTAAAATTTTAGGGGTACAGTAGTTTTTATTTTGGTAGGAGACTTGGTTTATAAATATATATGCAAGTCTTACCATTTCATTGTACAGAGAGTGATATTAGTAAAAGTGTTTTCTCAGCAGAGAATTTGTGTGTTTTTTGGCTGATTCCTTGAGAGGATCAGGGAAATCTCTTCCATCCTTTTTTCTTTTGTCTCCTCTTTCTATTTTTTAATTTCTTCTTCTTCCCTCTTGCATCCATTTGGTATCAGAGCAAAAAATCCGATCCATCACAACTTCTCATTGTTTCTCCCAATTTTTGCTTCTCTTTTTAATTCGTCCACAACATCATCCCAAACATTGTTTGATGGGGATAAATGAGAAAAACCTTATAAAGTTTATAAAAGACGAGGGAAAGATGCTTCCAAGGCTCAAGCTTTAATTTGACATATGTTGGATGATGCAGAGTCTACGTGGGAGCTTGCATAAGCATAGGTAGAGTGTTATTTTTAGTTGGTTGGAGTTAGTTTGGTAGTATTAGTATTTTGTGTGATTTTTTATATTTTTTAGAGTTGGGGGTATTTTTATAATTTCAAGAACTTATAGAATGAGTCATATTTTTGGGTTACATTCTAGTGTTGAATATTCTAAAATTTAAAATCCTAGTTCTAGTTAATTTTATTTTTCTAATTTTTAGGGACCTAGAGTTTTTAGAGTCCTAGAAACTTTAGAATTCTAATATTTTGGGATTAGGAGTACTTCGAACTCTATATATAGTTAGTGTTACTTTTAATAAAAGATAGTGAGGGATATTTCAGAAATTTCAACAATTATATGCTTCGTAAGTTGTGTGATGCAATTCTAACATCTAGGTGTGATGCAATTCTAATCTCTCGGTGTGATGCCTAAGGAACCCTAGGAGTGATTCCTAGTCAAAGTTACTATTCATGTTATTGTTCACTGGTACTGTTCACTGCCCCTAAACAACCCATATTTTCATTTTATACTGTTGTCCTACGTCAGTTTTGGTATTAGAGTGAGGATCCAACATGTATACGTGTTCATGATGATCTCTTCGTGGGCGATTGACGGATGAACAACGAGATGAGATGCTTTCTCGAATTTGGGATCAATTTAATAGTGTCTTAATTCGATTAAGTGATGTAGAAGGTTGAAACACTCAACCCAATGGTGGCGTGAGGTCTGATGTGCAAGGAGAAAATTTTGTAGGTGGTATAATGGAGAGAATCGAGATGCAGACCAGCTGGTATATCCTCCCCAAACAAAACAATTTAGAGCTCCTCGAGGTCATGAATCTATCGAATATCCCATGTTTGATTGGCTGCAATATGAACCACAAGATACCACGAGAGATATCACAAAAAAAGTCGGGATGGATATTCCAGACTTTGAAGGAAGGGTAGACTTTACCGTGTTTTCTGATTGACTTTCTTCAATCGAGGAATACTTTAATTGGTATAATATGATGGATGACCGGAGAGTAAAATTTGCTAAGATGAAATTTGTAGGCTTGACAAAAGTTCGGTGGACTGGCGTGGAAGGGGATATAAGAAGATTGAGGCAACCTCCTATAAACACATGACAAGAGATAAAGGCAAAGCTTAGAGAGAAATATATGCTTGACAATTATCATGATAAATTATGTGAGCAATTAGTTAATTTGAAACACGACAACATGTCGGTGGCAGAATATATGCAGAGGTTTGATGAACTTAAGACTCGAAGCCAAGTTGTGGAAGATCCCCGCCAAACACTAGCTTGATTTAAAGTTGGTCTACGGGTTGATTTAAAGTGATAATTGCCTTGGCAGCCCCTATATAGTGTGGAGCATGCATTCCAAGTGGCACTTGACATGGAGGAGTACTAGAGATACCCACCTATTAGAAAAGTGGTCGGGGAGATAGGAATAAAGAGGCCTAATGAAGCAAACCGTGGCTCAAGGACAACATCTAATAACCATTCAATCGATCAAGCGGATTATTGGCTTCTTCCTCAAACGTGGCTGATCCTAAAGGCAAAGGTGTTATGATTAATAAATCAAATGGGAGAGACAAGAGGGCTGTTTGCTTCAAGTGTGGTGAGTTGGGACACATGGCTTATCAATTTCCAAAGAAGAACAACCTACATATTGCGGCGAAAGATGAGGACGAATAGCAACCATACGAGGATATCTATGAAGAGAATTCGTTTAATTATGGAGCATATGCTGTTGATGATTTGAAGGAAGACGAAGAGGATACTTCTTTTTTTTCCATTGTGAGACGCATTCTAGCTGCACCTAAGGTGGAGCAAGAAGATTAGCGAAACACTTCTATTTTTCAAATGCTGGTTCGCTGTGGAAATCAAGCTAAAAAGCTTATTATTGATGGTGGAAGTTGTATGAATGTTGTGTCGGTATCTACAGTTGAACGTCTTAACCTTCCGGTGGAATCACACGTCCAACCATATAAAGTAGCTTGGATTGATAACACTTCTGTACCGGTAACTCAACGATGTCTCGTTTCTTTTTCTTGTGAAAAAAATAGTGATTCCATATTATGTGATGTGACTTTGAAGATAATGCCCTTGCATATGTTACTGTTGCTAAACTCCTACTTGCTCCATAAGTGAAGGAAGAGATTGAAGATATTAATGATCATCAACTTGTGTCTCATAGAGGTGGCGACTATCAAAAGTATCTCATCAAATGGAAGGAGCGTCCACTTTTTGATTGCATGTGAATCACCGATAATGAGTTCCAATGCCATAACCCCGGCTTGTATGAATGGTTCCATGCATTTAATTCGTCGGGGTAGAGTTTTTTTAAGCTGGGGAGAGATGATGAGGACATATGACAACAACCTTATAAAGTTTATAAAAGGCGAGGGAAAGATGCTTCCAAGGCTCAAGCTTTAATTTGACACATGTTGGATGAAGTGGAGCCTACTTGGGAGTTTGCATAAGCATAAGTGGAGTGTTATTTTTAGTTGCTTTGAGTTAGTTTGGTAGCATTAGTATTTTATGTGGTTTTTTATATTTTTTAGAGATGGGGGTATTTTTATAATTTCGAAAATTTATGGAATGGGTCATATTTTTGGGTCAAATTCTAGTGTTGAATATTCTAGAATTTAAAGTTCTAGTTCTATTTAATTTTAGTTTTCTAATTTTTAGGGACCTTTAATTTTTGGAGTTCTAGAGACTTTGAAATTCTAATCTTTTGGGAGTACTTAGTGTTACTTTTAATAAAAGATAGACAGAGATATTTCAGAAATTTCTTCAATTATATGCTTTTTGAATTATGTGATGCAATTCTAATCCCAAGGTGTGATGCCTAACAAACCTTTGGAGTGATTTCTAGTCAAAGTTACTATTTACGTTACTAATCACGGGTACTGTTCACAGCTCCTAAACTGCTCCTATTTTGATTTTATATTGCTGTCCTACATCATTGTTCAAACGCAATATCACAGCCGCGGCGTACAATTGTCACCATCAATACAAACACTATTGCCGTTGTTACACATCTATCCACCATCATCATTGTCACCTTTATCCAGTACAACAATAAGGAGCTCTGAGACTTAGGGTTTTGAATTGTTGCAAGGAGAAATTGTAGATCTTCATTGTGGGTCAATTATGCCGGAGTTTTTTCTATAGTTAAAGCATCTTGAGTCATCAGAATTGAGCTGCTGTTTGCTACAGGTTCGAAAGCTAGGGTCTAATGTCGCACTAGTTATTTGCCAAAGTGTTATCCAACATATAAAAAGAATCCAGTCATTTTCCAGAGAGCCTAGCATAACCAAGCCCACCCCCACCCCCACCCCCAACTAATTTGCAATCACACATACATCCCCAAATTGTTCAATAAAACTTTAGTCCCAAAAATTTCAGAAATTACATATTCAACACTAAAGTTTCTGAAAGCTTAGATTTAACCCCCAAAATTTTTGAAATTACAATTTTGTACCAAAAGTTTCTAAAATTACACTTTGACCCTAGAATTTGTTGAAAATTTTAAAATACTATTTCTATCAAGATTTACCAATGCCGAACTAAGTGCTTGGATTTGAAGCACATGATTCACGACTAAATTCGCTTTTAGTGAATAATGATTCATCTTTTTCATCCATTAGTTGTCAACAAGTGGTTGAACAAGCTCTGCCCTAGAAGTGCCTCCACAACCACATGTTCCAATCTGATTGATGATCAAAATTTTTCTAATATTGATGAGCCTAAAAGTTCTCTACCTCTTCCTATATCAATTGTTATTGATAATCAAGTTTCAAAGGGTGCCACTACCAATAAAATTGCTAAATCAGTGTATGTGGACACCATGACGAAGGATATAACGCATCGTGGGATTGTTTTCTACTCTAAGGATCTACAATACTATTTTCTTGTAGCCCAAACTTCTTCACATCTATAAAAGTCCTTATGCCTTTACAACTCCTTGGAGAAGAGTGTTTTTTAGTCAGGGAGAATTAATAGAGATCGAAAACAGATTGAATAGGCTTGAATTGAAGAATTTGAATTTATTATTTTAGTATTATTATATTAATTAGGGAAGATTTGGTTTGATTAGGATTAGTTTTACTATTTATTAGGTTATTTAATTAAACAATACTTGTTTGACTAGGAGCGTTAGTTAGAGTTAGAGTTTGACTAAAAAATTATTATAGAGTTTTAGTATGAGAGTAATTTGGGAGTTTAATTTTGAAAATCTTTTAAAATTCTAGAAAGAGAAGTAGTTTTTATTTTGGTAGGAGACTTGGTCTATAAATATAGATGTAAGTCCTACTATTTCATTGTAGAGAGAGTGATATTAATAAAATTGTTCTCTATCGAGAAGTTGTGTTTCCTTTTTCTATTTTTTGATTTCTTCTTCTTCCCGTTTTGTATCAGATTGTTTTGCAAATTGCCAATGTTAGGTAATGAAGCACTCAACAAAGCATAACATACCAAGTTCTTGGTTTATAGGAATCCAGGAAGGAACATTTTTTCATTTTCAAAATTAAGAAAATACCTTTAAATAGGTAATGTAGAAGGTTGTTGCATGGGGAACCATGTCATATCCTATAACATGCAGGTATAAACTAGTTTCTTAGCTCTTTTTGATTTTATCTGATTATGTGATAAGCTAGTTTGTTTTGGATACTAGGGTGCATATCTAATTGGATAAGAGATATTTTATCTTATCATAAGCTAAACTGTTTATACCTGGCCAGGGTTTTATGTGCTTTTCATCCAAAACTGTTTTATAGAATTCATGACTAGCAGTGTAAAAAATATTGCACCTGTATTCCCTTTCAAATAATGAAATGTATGAAGAAATTGTAGAAATGTCATCTTAGGCAATAGTGAATTTCTATTTAACAAAAACATGATACCTGACCTACCCTGTATCATATCCATGGCAAAAAAAAATATCTTGAGAGATAGCTTTGAATTTTGTGCACACACGGCGTGAAGCTTTCTGTTGGCTTTTAGAGCTTCTGCCCAAGATAGATCTCTGACTTTTGAAGGTGTCTAATCATGTATGAGTTTTGTTAAAGCAAAGTTTTAGAATATTTAGGATAAAGGATCCTGCTGATGTGTGGTGTATAGACTCAAATTTTAGGATGATATGGATAGCATAATGTCATGATGGTGTATAGTCTCAAATTTTAGGATGATATGGATAGCATAATCTCATGATGCCATAGGTCTGCCCCACTAGTGGGGAAGCAGCTTGCCCAATTTTGGCAGACAAAATGCACCATCTTCCCTTGCTCTCATACCATAGAGAAGGTTAATTTAATAAGTTCCGAAGGATGCCCTCTTCTTCGTCCCAGTATGCAACAATTTTATCTGGATCGTGGGTTGATTTGGTATGTGATCTAAGTAGAGATATATGGTACGATATTTTCTTTAATACACGGTGTGATGGGGGTATACTTAGTTGATAACCTTTTTGGGGGTTGTGGTTTGCTTTGCAATTCTTATCTGGATTGCTTTCAAGATTGCATAAAACATTATTGAAGTAAATATGCATATCCACATGGTTAACTAATCTTTATTATAATATTATGGGAGGAGTTCAAAGTGAACCACAATTCAAAACAACATATTGCTCAAGGTTTATGAATAACAAAAGTTACTGGTTGCATGTTTGTATTCCACAAAAATTTAAATCACAACAAACCAAAATATAAGCTATAAGTTTTAAATATCCGCGGAAAAATGAAATAAAGAACTAGTTTGGTTTACCATTTAGAGTTAGGATTACAATTTGGGGTTACGTAGATCGTGTATCAATTTTGGGCAAGAGTTATGAGTTGGGTTAGTAATTTGGACGATCTAGAAAAGTGAATCCACCAGTTAGGGTTTGTGCGGCTTCGGATTGTGGGACCTTTGGGTTTCCTTTGGTACCCTCCCAGTTCTTCAATTACCCTTTTGCCCTGTCAACCTCAATCGGCATTCGGCACCATTAGAGTCATTTTTTCCTTTCTGATCAATTATCTTTCTAAATATTCCTGTGCCGACCTTTGACTGTTAGCTGCATCACTGTGTGTTGCGGCTTTCTTCTGCCTTCACCGACCACACCACACCAACAGCCATGATGTTAGCAAAGGCATTATTATCAGGCATGTGATGGTTGTGGATACTATTATCATGTGATGGTAACGGTCAATGGGAGGGTGACCACATCAAATGGAACGAGTGTCAAGGATGGAATACTAGTGAACTCAATGTGTAGGATTCATAGGCCCAAGTGGGATTCTGCTCCTTTTTGTTTTTTTCGGTTTCTTTTCTTTAAATTTCTTACTCTATCTATGAAGGATTCTGTTCCTTTTTGTCTTTTTCATTTTTTTAAAATTTCTTACTCTACAAAATTAATTATGCTCAATTAGAGGAGTTGACTGGGGCAAAAAGTGGGCACAATCTATCATCCTACTTCCAACGTGAAGTAATAGGACAACATTTTGCATAAAATAAAGGACATGCAATTCGAGTCATGAAGGAAAGTGCCAGGATTATATCGAAGTGTTATTTTCTCTGTTTTTACTGCGATGAAGTGCAAATTTAGATTTTGTTTAGTTTTGGGTATCTTACCTGATTTTTTTCCTTTGGCTGTCTTGTATTTTGAGGCTTCCTACTTTAATTCAACTGCTGTTTATAAATTTGTGCTCCAACTGGTGGCATTCTGTTAAGTGCAGCTTTTTTTCTTTTAATTTTAAAGGTGGTTATGTGAAAAGGCTATGTCAATTTTTTGCTAATTGATATTCCAAGTGATTCTTGAATGTTGTTTCTAAATACGTCATTTTTAATACATGTTTTTGTTAAGCAGGGGTGGGAGGAGACAGTAGTCAAGCAAGCGCAGTCCGTTGAGAGTCGGTCAGAGATGAAAATATCACTGCCATCGATGCCCTCTCTTTATATTACATCATTTCTTTTCCAAGCATGTGAAGAAATTCATCGAGTTGGAGGTCATATACTTGACAAAGTAATTTTGCAAAATTTTGCTTCCAGACTGTTGGAGAAGGTATGCAGCTTGCATTAGTGTTTGATAATACTTGATCTTTTCTAAACTCTCTCTCTCTCTCTCTATATATATATATATATACACCATATGATTATGGTTTATCTAGTGAACTTATTCTATTGGATCTTATGGAGCCTACTTATGTACGACATGATTCGGATTTGATCATAGAAAAAATTCTCTTCAAGTGAACCCAACCTATCCTTTGTATGGGGCTTACACGGGGGTTGGAACAAAGACACATTTATTATCATGGATACAATGCCTTGCTTCAGTAATCATTGTGTCACATGGGAAGGTGTATCGTTATTATTATGGATGGAACATTAGACCTCAATTATAAAATAGGTCTCTTCAAAAGCAAAAGGATAGGCCGTTTATTGAAACTTTAATTCCATAAGTTAAGTATAGCTATAGCTACTTTGGTTTTTGATCAATGCCATATAGATAATAATGAAGATGTATTTGTTAGTTATTTTTATTTATGTTTTATTTTTTTGCTTGAGGGTATTCTTGTACTTTGTTCATATATATATAAGTTTGGGTGTAGTTCTAACACTACTCTCTTCCAATATCCTTCTTCTTCTCTCTTTCTTTCTTCTCTATTCTAAATCCTAACGACTTGACAATCTAATTTGGTATTAGAGCATCGATTTATATCTGAAGCCAAAAGTTGTCGAACATCATCGGAAATAGTTACAGTGATAACTGAATTTTTTGAGGAGCTAATGTCAACATCAAACCTTGTCAGAAATTTTTGAAATTTATATAGGAGATTTGACTTGGTATTCTTAGAATTATGGTGATTTTTTTGAAATTTTTTGAAGTCATCCTCTTAGGTTTTCGAATTTTTAGTTGAGGCTTTGTTCGCTGCTGTTTCTAGTTGTTTCTCACTGAGAGGGCACCGACTAGGGTAGATCTACATTACCCTTGGAGTTCTGTTGCATTTTGATCAAGTTTGGGATGTTTTTGGACCAGATTTGGAAGTGACTTCGATACCTTTCCAAGAATCAGGATCTGCCTTACTTAAGCCCCTCTGGTGCCCTTCTGCCGAAGCTGGGTCAGCTCCAGGTTCCTGTTTCATGTCTGTCTTTTTTGTTGCGGGTTACTTTGGCTGCTGAATTTTTTTTGGTTGCTGAAATTTTTTCCTACAGACTGCCAGATTAGTCCTCTGCCTGATTTGGCTTCTTTCTTTGCTAGTGGTTTTTTGGCTAATTTTTTTTTTCCTGGTTGTGGTGGCATATATTGGTTGGGATTTCTGGCAGCTGCATTTTTGCCCTTGGTGATGCTTTAGCCACTGTTTGGCTACTGGGGTGCAGGTTTTTTGCCTCTGGTGCTGCTTTAGCTACAGTTTGGCCACGGGGCTGTAATGTTTTGGCCTGTCTTCTACTGCAACACCTAACATTTGGGTGTTGCATATTTGGGGGCAGATTTGAGGCTCGACTACAGGTTTCTTTGCAGCTGTTTGGATCCAGATCTGGGTTTTAGCCTCTGGTTGAGGCCACTTCACCCCACGTAATTTTTTTTTTTTTTTTTTTGCCTTTAGTTTGTGGCTTTTTGCTATTGTGGTGCAAATCTTGGTGTTGTGTGCAATTTCGTTGGTTGTGATTTCGTTGTTTTGGTGTTTTTTGATACCATGAACTATAATATCTTAAAATGTGATTATTTTGGGAACAATATGCATACGAGGGAGTTTTGGTGGAAGTTGATTGACCGACTCATACGTGGTCGAGGTGGTACTGTGCGATCCCATGCACACATGACTGAATCTTCTAATTATTCATCTCAATCTGGTGGCAGTATTTCAACTGTGTTTTTTCAAAAGAAACAAACTCTTAGACGTCTGATGGCTCAGTTTGATGTTTCCTCTACCATGGTGTCTAATCATGCTTCTTTTTTTTCTTTCAATTTTGCTCAAATAGGTATATTTGCTAGTGTATTTAGTTCTTCATCTTCATACACTCCTTGAATAATTGACTTTGGAGCCACATACCAAATAACAGGTTCTTTTAGCCTTTTCTCTTCATATTTTACATTTTTAGGTAGGGATAAGGTAAGAGTGGCAGATGAAACTTTATTCTCTATTTTAGGAAAAAGTTCAATTAATTGCTCTTCAACCTTATTCGTTTCATCCATTCTTCATGTCCCTAATTTTTCTACAAATTTATTGATTGTTAGTAGTATTACAAATTCCTTGAATTGTTTAGAGATCTTTTACCCGACTCATGTTTCTCAGGATGAGAAACAAACTTAGACTTCTGCTGTGTTGGCCCAAAAACCTAGGGCGTTTCTGGTTAACTTTTGCAAAACAGTTTTTTGTTCTCAAAATTTCAAAAACACAAAAAACCTGTTTGTTTAGCATTTTTGTTATCTAAGTTTTGGGAAAAAATGAGATTTAAGTCAAAGAAACAGAAAATAAGTGTAGCTTGTTTTCAGAGTTTTCTTTGAAAATTTTGGAAATAAGGAGAACAATTTTGGATGTTCAGATTTGGGTATATATATATATATATATAAATACTTATATATAAATATGTATATATATACACTATTCACGGTCGTTGTAGTGACGTCAGGGCGTGCGATACGTCAGGACGTGCGATATATATATATATATATATATATATATATATATATATATATATATATATATATAATATTATATATATTATGAAATTGTCAATATAAAAATAACTGTTTTATATTTTTTTATTAATGTTTGAATTAATGTTCAAATATATATTTAGACTGTCCAAACAGGTTTTACTATTTTCTATATTGTAAAATTGTTTTTGAAATCATCTAATCAAATAAGTTTTTTATCTTAAAAAATATTAAAACTACTTTCTTAAAAATCTTCTCAAAAACTGTTTTCGGATACTATTTTTTGAAACGCAAACCAAACAGACCTCTAATTTCCAATTTAAAAACTCAATTTCACTATTTGTGAAATTAATAAAGTGAGTAATGGTGTGTATGTGCTAAACACAAAATAAAGTAGAGAGAGAGAATGCAAACACAAGAATATGTAGTGTTACAGCCCCTACATGTGGCCTACGTTCTCTTCTTCCTTCTTCCCTTGGAGTTCCCTTTGTCTTGCTTGAGTCTCTTCAATGGGTGAGATCCCAAACCCTTACAACTTCTCTTTTCCTTGAGTACAATATAAATATCACTCTTTGTAAGCTTAACTCAAAAAAAACTTATTTTTACAATAAGAGTCTCTCAATCTAAGCAAACAAGACAAGAAGAGTGTATATACAAGCTTACACACACAAGCAAACAATTTTGATCACTTTTTCTTTGGGCTTCTAGCTCATCAATACAATGTTGCAAAAGTTCTCTCAAATGCATTGAAGACCCCTATTTATTTTATACTAGAATTCAAAACCTTTGAATTGCTTCAAAAATTCTAGCCGTTACTGTGCCTAACGGTCTTCAACTAGTATGCCGGTTCCCAGTCCGACATATCGAATCATTAACAGTCAAGACATAAGCCAAGACAATACTTATGCTGGATGCTGAGCCAACATGCTGAATGCCTGCGAAAGCTTCTAGATCCATCAAGGTAAGGAGATATTGTAAGTTGCTGAGGCCGCCGGTTCCCGGTCAGTATGCCGGTTCCTCTCATCTGGCATACCAGATCACTTGCAGACCCAGTCGGTTCAACCTTCCATGCCAAAACTTTTGTGATCTTTAAGGGCTGCCGGTTCCATATCCGGCAGCCCTTAAAGATCATAGTGCACTTCTAGGTTTGTACATCTCTTTCTTCTTTTCTTTCATTCAATTAACAATGCATCTAAATTACATATTAGATCATAGTGTAGATGTTTTGATCATCGTCAAAACCATGCTTAAGTAAGCAATGGGTCAACATGCTAACTCAACTTGATGTTTCCTATATCATGGTGCCTAATCATTCTTCTTTTTCCAATTTTGCTTAAACAAGTATATCTGCTAGGCATTTAGTGCTTTATTCTCATTCACTCCTTGAATAATTGGCTCTAGAGCCACAAACCACATGAAAGGTTTCTCTTGTCTTTTCTCTTTATATTCTACATGTTTAGTTAGGGATAAGGTAAGAGTAGCAGATGAAACTTTATTCTCTATTTTAAGAAAATTTTCAATTAATTACTCTTCAACCTTAACCCCTTTCATCCGTTCTTCATGTCTCTAATTTTTCTACATATTTATTGTCTGCTAGTAGTATTACAAATTCCCTAAAAAATCAGCATCTTCTTGAAGTTGCTTGGTCGTTGATGTTCATCATAAATGTTCCTAAATCTTTTTTGGGAGATGTTGGTCTTACGCTTATCTGATTAATCGTCTTCCTTCGTCAGTCACCTATTGAGTGTCTTTATGAAATTTATTCTATTCCTTCCATTTCTTCCTGTTCTAAGGTCTTTGGGTGTATTTGTTTTGTACATAATTACAGATCTTCCTGGGAGAAACTTAACCCCAAGGCCATGCGGTGTGTTTTTATTGGCAACTCTCCTACCCAAAAGGGATATAAATGCTCTCATCCACAGACTCAAAAGGTGTTTTGCTAGCATGGATGTTACCTTTCATGGAACTGTCATTTTTTTCCTAATTTTCAGCCATCTCTTCGGGGAAAGAATATTACTATTGGGGAATAGATAATATATCAGAGACTTTTTCTTCAGTTGCCTATTCAGTGGAATATTGGTAAAGGGGAGCAACATCTTATTGAGGAAAAATAAGGTGATACAAGTAGTTCATCTAGTCCTCGCCTGGACAAGGATAACCCGAAGACTTATTTTTGGCGTCAAAAGATACAAGGACAGACTACCTACGTGCCATCGAGTCAATTGAATTTTCTATCCAATTCAAACACTTTTCAGCGATTTATTAGGTCATGAACTTTGAGATGTTACTCCCATTGTTAATGATTTTGAGCTTCCCATTACAGTCAGAAAGGGTGTTAGAATTTTTACTCGACATCTTATCTTTAACTTCGTAACTTATGATTTCTTATCGCCATCATATCGTACTTTTGTTTCGTC